TCTCTCTCTCTCTCTCTCTCTCTCTCTCTCCTCTATCGAAAGCATATTCTTCTGCGTATAGCGCGAGCGTGTGTTGGTTTCTAGTCGAGCGACCCGTATACGCCCACGTCTACGATGAATATGAATTTTTCAGTTTCGAGACCCAGGGAAACTGTCAAACGGGTCTTCGATCCCATCCTTCGTTCCTTCTCCCTTTCTTCTCTAGTTTTTATTGCCGTGGCGCGCGTGTTCACGCATCCGTGAAATCGAGCGTTTCTTGAATTGTGTGCGTGAGAGGGGGCGAGAATTTGATATATTTTCGGACTGTGGTCAAACAACTGTGATAACGAGATTTCGAGATTTTTGGGTGTTTGTTTCACGTTGGAGGATTTGCAAGAGATTCCAATATACTCCAAAACTCTAAAGTTTTCGAAATTCCAACACTCAAAAGTTCCAAAACTCCAGGAGTCTGAGATATTCGAAATTCTCCAAAATCCTCTCACAATCAGTAGAATACTTCTTTCCACGTGTAGAACATTTGCTCTGAGACTCGCGAGATTTGTGAACGCTCTACGATCTATCGATCGACAATTGCTTGAGAAATTTGTTCGAAAAAAACAACCCCTTAAGTAAAGAAGAGACAACCCCGTTTAAGTACTAACCCAGCAGATCGTACTATAGAAGAGAAACATTCGAGGAATCGCGAGAAGAGCCCGAACGGAAGAAGCTAGCCGACGACGACAAAGGGAGAATGCGGAGAGAAATAGAAAGTGCGAGAGACGGGATCGCGGCGATGAGGAAAAGAAAGCAACAACCCTTCAACGAGGGGACACGTTGACCGCTGAAATTTCGTTCGGATGTGATCGCCCCACTCGGTGTACGACGATTGCGAGTGTGAGTGGCGCGTTCTCGTGCATGGAACATGGGCGTGGCAAAATAGGCGGAGCTTTGATTGTCGTTCCAGGGTTCTTCACCCCGAAGTACGTCGTTCCTGTGCCGGCAACAACCCCGAGCCGAGTCAGGCAACTCCATTCCCCTCCACCTGGCCTTTCAGACACTCATACATGCGCGTACGCATGCACGTACACGGAACCAGGAGCGGAACGAGCGAGAGAGCGTAGCAACGATTGCAAAGCGTGGAAGGGGCAGGATCGAGGATGTCAGTCTTTCCCGGGCCACGGATCCGGACAGCGTACTCTCTGTGATCCTTCTCGATCCTCCACTCGATTCTCTACTCCTCGATCGATGTTTTGATTCATTGAAATCAATTTCGATTTCAAACAGCAGTTGCTCGGACTTTGCATTGCGGAGTTTTTTGGTTTTCAAGTGTTGTGAAGGGACTTTGTTGTGGACTGTAGAGATGAACCACTGACAGTTTAGCACATGCATTTGGTGACTTCTTTCTCGCTGCTCGGGATGAAGAGACGGAGTTTGTGAGCCGAGAGGAAGACTTCAGGACCGATTTCAGAGAAGATGAAGGTGAGCACATAGGGATTTGATGAGGGTGTGGATTGGCGATTGTGACTTTAACTGAAACGTCTCGGAGATTGTGGTATAATGTTCGCCTTTCTGCAACTTTCTACTACGTCAAGTTGAATTTATATATAAATAGTCGATCATACACCTACAGTTCTTTTTTTTTTTTTTTTTTCGTTGTAATTATGTACGATTGGATTGGAAAATTCCATAAAATAGATACGTCAATTAAACGTTGAATACATTATCTCCCTATCAGGTGAAACATTTACACTGAAAATTGCAAGTAGCTACCGCGTGATATTATTTTTCAATAATATCGGGATAGGATATTAATAACCGGTGTATCAAAAAATATTCGTTTGAAAATTCTTGGTAGATACGTCTGAGAATTTTAATTTTAATTCCCCAAACGTAACTTTAATATAAAATACAAAATTCCTTTGCCTTGGTTTCTTAAACAAAATTTCGACGTATTTTATTATCTCTTACTCGGCCAATTTGTCAAAATTGATCGTTATTTGTTCACATATTTCGCCTCGTGGTTTCCGAAGAAGAAAATGTTATTAAAACGTTACATTCTTCCTGATTTATCTTCAGATGAATTCAATTTAAAGACACTTCGACGACATCGTGTCCCTGTCAATGTCTCACGAATGCCTGACCAGAAAGTTTTTCTTTCAAAAAATGTCCGGCGGCCGGGATAATTTTGAAATATCGCAAAAAATTATTTACGATCGCGAAGCGTACAAGGCCGATAAATCACTCGTTCGTGCCATTAAACGTCCGTCTCTCGCGTAGCGAAAATGACGAATCGGATGTGTACGAGGATGTTGGACGTCCGGTAGTCGGTAGTGAGGCCCGTTTGACCTCTTCACCCTGGCATTTCTCACTTTGTCAGCTCATCTCCGTCGCCCCCGAGTGTTGACCAATAAAAAATGAATCCTATTATTCTTCTTAACCACTTGCTGATTGCATTCTCTCCAGCATCGACTCCACTCCTATACGAACGATTGAAAAATTCCTTCTCGCTTTCTCGGCGAAAATTTCACCCTGCTTGCGTGATAATCAAATTGACGGATTTCGAGACGGCGATTGAGAAAGACAAATAGAGATCCCCTCTCTCTGTTTCCTTTTAACGAAATTTGCGAATGCTTCTTGTGCTACGAGCACACGTAGATGAATCAACTCGATTCTGACGAGATTTAAAATCCCTTTACCGAGTTGAAAATTCTACGCAACGATAAAATATTAAATCACGTTCCTATCTGTATCTTTTCAAATTGATATTCGCTAGAAAATAGCTATGCTACATATATATATATATATATATCTAGTGATAATTTGCAACGCCGAGATATTACTGTCACAAGTCGTCCATTTGCAGCTATCAAGCCTCGATCGCGTTTAATCATAAATATCTATTATCGCGGCACGATGAATTCATTGTAGAAACCCCCCATTGATCGTCGATGTTGCGTAATTGCAGCTCATTAATTCCATTGTTTGGAAACGAGACATTTTCACGCCTCGCCCATCGAATTAAATCTCGAAAGTGTACGATGTGCAATAGTAATAAAGATTATACAAATATTTATTTAATTCCCCTTCACGTTGATTTCTCCGTTGAAATATCGCTCGTCTCTGTATTTCTATCTCCAGAGATCGTTGAATGGCAGTATCATGCATTTTTCATTCCACTGGCTGCTAGTTGGAAATTTTCTAATCTCTTTGCTGGTTACGCAAGTTACGCACGAAAAAGAAGAGCGAAACTAGAGAGAACAGAGAGGTATTTCGCACTGTATTTCGGTGACGGTTTCACAATGGATTTTACCATGGCGCCTGTGGATCACCGAGATCCACAAGAAAAGCAACCCCCGCGAGGCTCGAGGGGCTAGTTTACAAACAGGCTAAAACTCTCTGCAGAGAAAATTTCTCAAGGGACCATTCCCACGAGATTGTATTCCCACTGTGGCTTGAAAAAATAATTTGTGGAAAACACAACTCTCTTTCCCCTATCGTCTTCAAGAGGAAGAAGAAAAAAAAATTGAACAGCTTGAGAAATGTAGAGGAATGCTTCAACACTCTACGAATGAGAAATTGGATCTTGGCTCTCGCCAAAGATAATAATAAATTTGCAATTAAATACTCTTGGAAAGTTCCTCTGAGAAAGATTCGAAGCAAAACGAAAAGTCTTTTGGATTGGAAAAACTGAAAGATCGAGAATTATTTTTCCTACTTGACAAAGCGATCTTCCGCCTGTCTCATCGAAAGGATCGCGCGCGACGCGCCGTATTAATCGACGCGATGTTACGTCGGAAGAGAAACGTGGCTCGCTTACCGAGGGAAGATCGAAATGCCAGAAGGTATAAATCACAGGTGGGAAGTTCAGCTTTGCCTTCGGCAGATCATAAATCAATGACCGTCCAGTTAAACGTGAAATGATTACTGGCCGACGGAGGGGAGGAAAAGACAGAACGAGGAAGATGAAACGAAAGAGACGAGGGCCCGGTGTAGCATCTTCGAAATTGGCTGTCGTCGATGTTGTCTTTCTTCGGTTAGCTGTCCGCTGTGCCGTAGCCTTTTTCATCTCTATAATTATTTCTCCTTTTCTTATCCCTGCGAACTGCGTTTCCGATGATCGTTCCGAGGCTAGAGGATAAAACTTTTCGATTGGAGAATACGGACTGGAGTAAAGTTCGGTCGAACAAATTTAAATAGATCTGTTAAAATATTGAAGAAGCTGAGAAAAATCTGTAAAACGAAATCCATACTACATTCGCTAAAAAAAAAAAAAACTAACAAGAGAAGGCTAAGAGAAGAGTTCTCGCATATCGAGACAGAAATAAATCAACGGTGAAGAGAAAAAGACTGTGAATCGAAGGACATAATGGTAATTAACTCATTGATTGCACGCTGCGGGGAACAATAACCCTTGTGCATTACTCGTGTACCAATTAATATAACCAAGTCAGGACTCGCTGTTCCAGCGTACTCACTTGTACGCACGTACAAACACACACGTTGGTGTGTGAAGGCACAGGTGTGTGGCGCGAGCACGTGTGCCGTGACAGAGATAAGAAAAAAAAGAAAAAAGAAAATTACATACAGATCAGATATCGCGTTATCTTTGCGTTTATCTCTCTACGCACTCACAATGACATTCTTCTGCTTCTCTTGGTTGCACGTTATTTATACGTCTCTCTTTCTGTTAACCACCAACTGACTGAGAAGAAAGAGAGGACGAAAAGAAGAACAAATCAGCTGCATCGTGTCGTTCGATTGTCAATTAATCGCGCTCGCAACCCCTTTAGTACAGGTTTGTTTCCAGCGGTTTTTGACTAATGAACGACGACTCGTCGAAGGAAACGAATGCGCTTTAACCGACGATCCTTGCCTCTACCATTTCTGTAGTCACGTTACGTTATTCGACGAGTTTTTGTTAACGATAGAGGATAAAACCGATCATTTCCATTCTTCCAATGGCAATTGGAAAAGAAGCAGAGCAACTCTCGATACGATAAATATTCCAGACTTGGAAGATTTTCCCATTAAGCTCTGGGATTGTTAACAGACCTTTCGGGTCGTCGAGTCGAACGATAAATCTCGAGCCACCAATTATACCAATGTAAATTAATATATCGTCCGTAAGTAAATTCTGCGGACGACAGAGGAACCTGCTTCCGGTTTATAGTTGCCGATCCCTCGATCACACTCGCGAGCTAATTAATCGAACGATAGAATTCGAGATTGTATCTTTCGTGTTTTTTAAATGAATTAGTTTCTTGAATGAAAGAGAAAAAAGAGATGCAACGATATTTTAAATTTAGCATGCTTCAATTGAAAGCGGAATTGCACCGAGGGGTTCGAAAATTCGCGAAATCTTCTGCGTTAGGCGTTCAATTAAAAGGAAGCTACGCAAACACACCCAGGAGGAGGTGTGCGCGTCTCGCTTAAATCGCACCATCGGACAATGAGAAAAATCTGCAGCTGCCTTGAAGGTGGTTTCGCGTGCGCGGACGCTTGCTTGAAGTACGATGTGTGCGTAGTCATGCGAATCGTGCCAGCAGTGGTCGAGGAACCGAAGGGATCGTGCCCAACAGCGGCATCGTTTATCAGCCGGCGGCCGTCCGCTCGTTTATTATTTCACTTTGCGCGAGTATTAATTGAGATTTGGAGCCGCCAGCCAGCCTTTCCGTGCCCCCACACCCGGAAACCATCATCCTCTGCTATATGTTTAGCAACTTGTGGCTTATCTATACTAGAATCGAATATTCATCGCGCAAGACGTGATTCGACTTTAGAATAGGAAATTAAAATTTCCAAATTAATATCCAAATTTCTGTTCGTTTATGTCAAATCAAAACGTCAATGTTAATATCGCCTGAATTCTCGTGTAAATTGCAGTCGGAGATCGAGACAGAGACCGAGTGCGGGGACAGCATCCTCTGTTCGAACAACAACAACAACAACACTAACAACAACAACAACAACAACAACGTCAATAACAACAACGTGGCGAGCATAAAGAAAGCTGGTGGCAATATCACCAACAACGACAACCACGATGGCATGGAAATGGAGTGCGGTGGCTGCGGGGAAAGCGTCCGCGAGCGCACTGTCCTCTGTGTAGGGGGTCGTACCTGGCATTCCAGATGTCTGAAATGTTACGCCTGTGCGAGACCTTTGCACGACCAACACTCCTGTTTCCTTCGAGGAATGAGACTCTACTGCAGGCACGACTATGCCTTGTAAGTAAAAATCGTTTCTATTTCTCGCGAGTAGTAATTCCTAAATAGTAAATGGTCGGGACTGTAGCAGGCTGCAGATTGTCGAAAAATTTTAGACTAGATCTCTGTTGATTCAAGTTAAGTGAGAGCTGTTCCTCGATCTCGAAAGGCAAAAGCAAAGTGACTAATCAAAAGGTGGTTATCCCTCGGCCAGAAAGCAGAAAGGGATCGAAAACCACTGGCAGCATTTTGGCGAGTCATTCATAATCCCGAATAATACCCTCCGAAATCTATCTCAAGGGGCTTGTTCATAAAATCCTTTGGAAGTAGCTGCTCGACAGGGTGCCCGAGATACTCTGTTATACGAATGTCAGCGTATTCCGCGAGAAGTGTCCCGTAAGTCGAACAAACGACGCTTCTCTTCCAGCAGCAGCACGCCACTGGTAGTCGAGAAACGTCCTCTTAAGCTTTTGCTCCGCACACCGGTTATGTATCAGTGGGGCGTCCGTTCGTTCGATCAGCTGGAATATTATTGGATTCATCGATAATCCCTCGTGTTGCTTCTGGATCGAGGGATAACTGTCCCCTTTGGTCGATCGTAGATCGCGACTGAATGATGGAACGCTTTCGTTCGTGACGAATGAGATGCCGATTGCGAGAGGCAAGAGGAAGAGAAACAAGTTTGACTTTGTTTATACAGAACATCGAATGAACGAAGTGCCTCGAAAAGTGTCTGTTAATTAAATTAACCCTTCTACTGCGTTAAATTATTTAACCTCGTTACTAAATTTATTACTAAACTTCCATGAGTGAATTATTTTAACATAATTTAACGTAAACTGCTACAGTCATCGACAGTCCAACGATAGGCAGATATATCGTTTAAAGTTTAAATGAGAAAAATGAAGTACTCACATGATTTGGCTAAAAGCTGTCTGTCTTTCGAGTCACGTGGCCGTCACGTGGGTGCAGATATTCCCACAGATGAACAGATATCTTTACGCGAGTATTCGACGTAGGCTCGAAAGAGATTCGCCAGTGGGTGATTAATGTCTTCCGATGTAGCCTTCTTCTTCTC